GCCCGGCCCATTGAGCTCGTCTCTTTGCCAGAAAGCTGGCGTTGCTTCCACCTTCCTTCACCTCATTAAGTGATCCATTCTCTGGCTTTCTACATATCTCACTGGTAAATCTTTTTCTCATTCATTTTCAAATCCCAAACATCCATGAACATTACCTTCACACGCAGAAACATACTTAATGAAGTACAAAATCTCCACCATATGGGTTTATATTTCCCCAAACACCACAGACTATGTTACACTGGTTTACACTAATGCCTTATCTAGATTATTATTTTTGTCTCCATAGAAGTGCCAAGACACATTTTTAATATTGCACTTGCTCTACCACCGTTTGGGGGGAAAAAAGAGTTTCATAACTTGTCTCCCTCCCCTCTTTGTGATTATGCAACAATATTTTAATTTTCCCTAAAATTAGAACCTCATTCTGCTTCTAGGGGACATGAACAAGTCATTTAAAAGCAGGAAAATTTTCATTTCAGCCCCCATTTACTTTCTGGCAGAGGACTAGGATCAGTAGCAGGGAAGATGGTATGAGAAACTCCAACAGTATCTACTCCTGGATTGTTTTGGTCCAGCACAACATGGTTGTACATGTGGTAGACTGTGGTTGGAATCCAAGAGTGGGAAAATAATGCTTTTCATTTTTATTTGAATGCCCTTCCTGATGATGGTCTCAAAACTTTGTCATTTTGACTGAAACAACGCATTAAATGGATGTTATGAAGAAAACAAAGTGGGAAGGGGCATTATGAGACCAGTTGGCATAGTCTCAACTCATCTCTTCAACGATTCCTTTGATGGTTGATTCAAGTGTAGTAAGCATAGCTATGCTCTTGAAACACACTCATTTCATTAATAGACTGAACAAAGGGCCAAGGTCATATTCAGAAGACCTTCTATTCAGTTTATCTAATTCACATTGAGTGCACTGTATTCACAAACTTTGGCTGGAATGTGGATGAAATCCGTCATGCAGTATGTGTCCATCTACCCTCTTCTCTAACCCAACACCAAGGTATAATACAAAGTCGAATCACAAGTAGGAATAGGTAACACAAGCAGTTATCTGGAGGCTGCAATATAAGCCTTCAAGATAAACCTCAAGAGGAACAAGCAAATCCACAAAGAACTGCTAGGGGAAAAAAAAAAGCCAAACTTTGACACAATGTAAAGCTAAAATGTCTAGCATCCAAACCAAAAATCAGTAGACACAAAAGTCAATTTCTTTCCTATATATGAGCAATGAACAACTGAAATTTAAAACTGAAATTAAAAAATATATATGCTTAAAATAAGATTTAAAAACCCTTATGTATAAATCTAACAATGTACGTACTGGATTTGTAGGCGGAAAAGTATAAAACCATAATGAAAAAATAATAATAAAAGACCTAATTAAATAGATATATCCCATGTCCATGGATTGAAAGAGTCAATATGCATAAGATGTAAATTCTTCTGAATTTGATCTATATAGTCAATACAATTCCAAAAAATATCACAGCAAGCTATTTTGTAGATACCAACAAACTGATTCTAAAATGTATATGAAAAGGCAAAGAACCAAGAAGAGCCAATATAATAATGAAGGAGAACAAAATTGGAGAACTCATTACATTCCACTATTTCAAGATTAGTATAAAACTACAGTAATCAACACAGTGTGATTGGTGAAAAAAACAGACACAAAAATCAGTGGAACTAAATGGAGAGACCAGAAATAGACCCATGCACTGCAAACGCAGTTGACTCATTTTTGATAAAGGCAATTAAACATTTTTTTATAAATGGTACTAGAACAACTGGATGTCTGTAGACAAAAAAATAAAAAATAAACTAGACACATCTTACACCATACATAAAAAATTAACACAAAACTTATTATAAACCTAAATATAAAATATAAAACTACAAAACTTCTAGAGAGTGGTAAACACAATACGTTATACAGATGACGTATTATAGGATTGTACATCTGAAACTCACATAATTCTATTAACCAATGTCACCCCAATAAATTCAATAATAAAGAAAAAGAAAAACTTCTACAAAATAGCATAGGAGAAACTTCAAGTGACCTTGGATTTGGAGATAATTTTTTTATTCAAAACCAAAAGCACACTCTATGAAAGAAAAATTAATAAGCTGGACTTTATTAAAAGATTTACATCTAGAAAGACACTCTTAAGAGAATGAAAAGGCAAGTCACAGACTAGGAGAACATATTTGCAAATCACATATCTGTTAAGAATTTGTATCCAAAATATACAAAGAACTCTTAAGTCAGCAATAAGAAAACAAACAACCCAATTTAAAAATGGAGAAAAGACCTGAGTAGACACTCAGATATAACATTAATATATTAAAGAAGATATACTTATGACAAATAAGCATATGAAAAGATGTTCAACATTATTTATCATTAGGGAATTGCAAATTAAAACAATGAAATATCACTTCACATCCTATTAAAATAGTTAATATCCAAAAAACAAACAATACCAATTGTTGGTGTGACTATGGAGCAACAGGAACCTTTAACCATAGCTGGTAAGAATGGATTAAAAAAGGCTACGGCACCCTTTTTAAAGGAAAGACATACGTATACAAAAAAACTTGCACACCAATGTTTATAGCAGCTTCATTCATAATTGTCAAAACCTGGAAGCAACCAAGATGTTCTTCAACAGGTAAGTGAATAAACAAACTGTGGTGTATCCATATAATAAAATATTACTCAGCAATAAAAATAAATGAGCTTAATAAGCCACACACACATAACCCTCAGATACATCATTGTAAATTACTATAAGGAGAAGTTTAAAAGTTTCAAAAGAAGAAAGAAAAACATTGACTACAAGAAAAGGGCTTATTTTGACATCAGAATTATTAGCTACAATGGGTGTTAGAAAGTCACAAAGGCAAAGCCATCCAGGGGGAAATTATTCTGAGATTAGAATATTCTACCAAATGATCAAGGGTGAGGACAAAGAAGAGACATTTTCAGGCATTTAAGAACTCAGATAGTTTATCTTCCATTTACTGTTTCTTGAAAATTAGTTGAGGATACTATCCAACAAAATGATTCAGATATACAAGAAAGAGGAATATAAAACAATGCAACTAACATACGAGTTCAATTAAAAAAAAAAAGGTCCCAGGTAGCTGTGCTCAGAAAGCTATAGATCAGTGAAAATTAAAAGAGGAATTCCCCATTCTTTAAAAAAAAAAAAAAAAGTTTTCAAAAAGTAAGCAATTTCTACTCATCAAACAGTGAAATGAGTTAGGAAATTTTGAGGATTGGTGTGCTTCTCCTGTTTAAATAGGTATTGTCTAATTTTAATAAAATATATTATTTATATGGTAACTCAGAAAAATCTAAATACAGAAAAGTTAAAGTTGCTACATTAAGAAATAACAATATAAGCAAATTATTCAAAGTTAAGGAATACCAGAAAAGCTAAAAATAGAAAATGAGCAGAACTGGGAAGATCTTTGTTTTTAACCATTTTAATTTTTTCATTTAAAGTATCAGATTATTTTATTATTAAAAAGTAAGTATATAGTACTATTAATAATATACTATCAATAATAGTAGGACACTATAATGAAGGGCAAAAAAGCTGAAAAGGGTGACTTTCATTTCTGGCATGGAAATACCAAAGGACGTTCAGTGCTACCAGACCGTGTAACCCAGTGGGATACAGAAAGAGGCACAGGGATGATATATAGCACATCACAGAATGCTCATCTTCTTTACTGATTCTTTGTTTCCACATCATTATGGACTAAATGGCCTATCTTTGTCATATAAACTTCTAAAGAGACCTTCATTTCACTGGGTTTTGACAACCATTGAATGTCACACATTCCAATCTTTCACTGCACACATTTCACTTAAAGAAAGGTCTGTCTAAATTCACATCTCTGGCAGGCGTCCACACTGGCATAACCGTTTTAGGGTATAAACTGGCACTCTTCCTTGAAATGTCAACTAGGGCTACACTCTGACCTAACGATTTCATTTCCCAGAACCTACCCTACCCAAATGCTCAAAGGTAACCCTATATACAGATTTTCAACGGAGCTGTTACTGTTTATAACAGAGGAAAACAAAAACAACCTAAATTCAATGCACATTGGTAGATGCAGAATATTGTGGTGCCATTTAAAAAATGAGATACATCTATGTCGAGTGACAGTAAAGGATGATGTATATACACGCATATATATATTGGACAATGAGTGGGCTTAACATCTGTGGAGGAAACAGTTTTTTACCTTGTGCATTTACTTCATTTTATTTTTACAACAAGCATTATTGTTTTTACATTTTAAGAAATCAGGGTATGCTCTAACTGTCATATATTTGGGATTAAAAAAAAATCCAAAAAGAGAAAAACTCAACGCCGTTAGATCAGTTCACTCTCTAAGAAGGAAAAAAACCATGCAGTAACTGGCAGGTTGCAGTAGAGGATTAGCGAATAGGCAGGCTTCTCATAGGTCAATGAGTGGGTCATTTTTTTAGGTAAATAAGGTAAGAAAATGAAGGCACAAAAACAATTAAGGCAGAGCTGAGGGGTGAACCCAGGAGCGTCGGGGCAGATCGGGCAGTCTAGGCGCAGGGAAAGACACTGAGGGTGAAGCGGGCCCTGGTGTCCGGGGCGGAGGGAACCAGCCCGCGACGCTGGCATGACCTGGGTAATGAACTGGAAATGAACTAGGTACCGGGTGTGCGGGAAAGAGATCAGAAGCTCTAAGACCTAAGAGGCCGAGGGCGGGTGAGGACACAGCAAAAGTCTAGGGACTTGGGAGCCGGATTCGCGGCTGGCGGTGGGACTTTGGCCAGCGGAGAGGAGGACGGCTTTCGAAAGTCAAGGGACAGGCCAAGCGCCCGTGAGGACTGCAGCCGGGAACTCTGGGCCGGCCGGCGGCCGAGGCCAGGTGTGGGCCGGGGTCCCTGCTCCGCTCTCGGGGCAGGTGCCAGCTCCCCGTACCTTCCCAGGAGAGCTCGCCTCCGGGCTCCCTCTTCAGGAACTTGTACCAGAACGTGTCCACGCGGCCCGGCTCCGCCCCGTCCTGCACCGCCTCCTCGGGCGTCAGCTCCACCTCCCCGAGCCACAGGCCCGGCTCCTGCAGCGCCAGCGCCCCCGCGCCTGCCGCGGTGCCCGCGGGCCTCAGGCGCACCGCCCCTCGCGGCTCCCAACGCCCCAGCTCCGGCCGCGACCCCACGACCAGAAGCTCCGGCCGGTCCCCGGCCACAGCGGGCGGCACCACCACCCCGAACCGGAACCGCATGGCGGCGGGCGGCTTGACTCCCGATGCCCGGCGTCCCCGGGAGGCAGACGCGGCCGGAGCGCAAGGCGGTCGCGGCGATTGGGCGGTGCGCGCTGGGCCTGGACGCGAGAGGCCCTGGCGCTGGCGGGGACACGTGCGAGGCTGCACCTTTTTTGGGCTGCATCACGCGGCCCAGGAGGCCGGGCCTCGCCCAGGCCAGGACCTGAGGCCGCGGAAAAGGGTCGGCGGGAGCCACCACCCGCCTGTCGCGTAGAAACAGGGCGGCCCCTAACCAGCCGCCTCTTCCTACCCTGCCGCCCTTCTTTCCATCCCGGCTCCGCGGGGGATGGGGACGCGGAGAAAGAACGAAAAAGGAAAGAAAACCACTAATAAGGCCTGCGGTTTTGCAGTCTTCTTTCGAAATGACAGGAAATTAGCTGTATGAGGTTCCTAAAGAAAAAGAGAATTTGGCATGTAGAAAGCAGCCTCCATAATAGTGAAGTTAGCAAAGGATCCTGGACTGGGTATCTGGAGAGCTCGGGCCTTGAACAGGTCAGTGGCTCTCTCGCTCTCTCTGGGCCTCAGGCTCTTTATCTGGAATGTGTGGATATAAAATAATGATCTTAAAAGACCCTGCCAATCCCAAAGCTTTTCTCATTGGTGGAAGAGGCATCCTTCGGAACCCAGAGCTGATGGAAAAACAGTATTTTTTTCCCTTGCCTAGTCCAATTCGATGCCTGAAATAAAACACAATCTCTTTTTTCAAAAAAAACTGTACCATTTTAGTATGTGTAAAATGGGTTGTTTTACCTTTCCAAGGTAAAACAAAACAAATATTCTGTGATTATAAATGTGTGACACTCATAATTTTTAAATGACATAAAAAATAGAGCCTTTTGTTGAAGATTGCCTTTCAGTAAAAGCATTTTTTTTTTCAACTCAAAACAGTTTTATGTCAAGAAACAGGTTTATAGCTATTCGGTCAAAAGAAAACTATTCACAGGGGAGGCAGGGCTTTATTTTTGTCACTGCTATAAGGTAACCAAATGTCCTGTTTACATATTTGTTACGTTATGATTGTTTATTAAAACTGTTCTTACATTTGTATATTCACAAACACTTAGCAACCTCCTACTTGAAAGCTTGGGACTAGTGAAAGAAAACCAAAATGTCATGCATTTACAATATCATAAGTAAAACAGAAAATACAAAAATGTAAACCATACAACCTCAGTCTCTCTGTAGAACAATTAGTAAATTAATAATATGTTTTACTCTTCTTCAATATTGATATTCCACTCAGTGTTTGCTTGGTTGCTAAGCTGAAGGATAAACACAAAGGAAAAATGTGAAGACAGCAAGGCGGGCCAAACATGGCTGATTCATTAGCAAAGCAGACGTTAAATCACAGTGGCATGTGAGTCCATTTATTCAAATTGCTCTTACAGAATATTCTTAGACTAATTTTAGGAAATTAAAAGTCAGCTGGCCACGCAAGAACACTAGGAGCTGACAGTTTAGGACTTTCTTGTTGAAAGTCTGCTGCCTCTATTGCGTACTTTCCAAATGACATTATTCCCACCATCTCTTCCAAAACGAATACTGTCCATTATCAACCTCGATAAAAAGATAAACTGAGTCAAGTTCAAAATTGTCAAAATAGGAGGGTTTTTCTTCAGTAATAGAGGAATTGCAATAGGGAAACACAAATTATAGCAAGCTATAGGCAAGTCTGTTGAGGGTTGGGAGTAGGCTGTATTTATGGGCAGGGAATGTAAAGAGGGGAAAGTTCAGTTAGATAGTCTTAAAATCAAAAACAAAAACCAACTTTGAAAATTTCCTGAGCAGACAAATACAGTCCAGTCATACCAACAAAACTCAATTCAGCTTATTTTGCAAGATAAACCAATCTGGGTCATTTTTTGTTTATGTCTCAGGAAACCATAAGCAAAATTTCCCAAGTTTAATATGAGGTAACCACTGACCAACTCCCTATCATTTATGATAAGTCCAAATTATCAGTTTGTGATAAATCAGGAATTTACAGGAAATCAATCCCTCAGTCCTGATGTTTTGTGTCCTTGAATTTTCTGTTTTATATCCTCCAGTTCTCTTTTAGATTAAAACTCTGTCACACCATTGTATAGATAAAACAATAACAAAAAAGAAAGAAAACAATGTATTTATTCAACAGACATTATTCTTCCTCTTGCATTATAAAGAGGTTAAGTAATTTTAAGTTGGAAGTATCCCTAAACAAAATATGTGACATGGATTTATAGATAGCGCAACTGTGATGGCTACGTTGTACATCAAGTAAAACACAGCTAGAAAGAAGAAAGAGACTAAAATACAGGTTAAAGAATATATGGCAAAGCTTCAATCATACTTTACATGCATCATTTGAATTTGTTAATCATGAAAATTACGACAGCCTTATATGCCAAGCACGTGGTTTTCATACTCATATTATCTTATATAATTCTTTCCCTAGTTCTACGAGGTAACTACTGTTGTTTTCCTCATTTTTTTATGTGAAGAAACAGTCACAGAAAAGTCCAATAAATAGGCCACAACAAGGAAGGGATAGAGCCAGTGCTAAAAGTCACTCATTCAGCCTGTAGTTAAAAATAAATATAATACATAAAATTATATTACATGTAATGTGCATAATTTGATATCTGACATGGAAAATCATTACAGAACATAGTTAAATCCCAGTATATTTAAATGAGTTATTCTTTATTAGCTCTTAATAAATAATAAATTTCCTGTAATTATTTCCTTTAACTTCATCCTTAGGAATGATGGAACAGAATAATTGCATAAGCAGCAATCTAAACTGATCAGTAAGTCTATAAAGACATAAATATCTTGGTATTTAGAGTGGATTTGATGTCAGGTCCTAGAAAATGGTCATTTGATGCCTTTCTATGCCTATCTTGTTGGTGATGGAAACACAGATTTAAGAAACCAAGATGAAGAATTTTTCTAGTCATTAAGTTGTGTTATGCCCAGCTCTTTTTCCTAGTTGTGTTCCCCATGGGACTTTTTTTACATTTCAAAGAATTATGATATTTAGTAAAAAGGACTATTTATGAAATTGATTTGAGGTCAGATTCTTGATGCTATGAGGAAAAGCTGAATTTAAAGCAAGAAGCAGCTCAGTAGAATAACATAATTCTGGTAATTCTTTTTAAAACCAGACCCACTTATTTTACTGAATTTCTTTTCTATAGTGCTATCTTATATATAACTACAATATTTCTTGAAGAATGGGTGATAAATTCAAATTTAGAGTTTCGTGATCCAATTCAAATGTTAATTCTTTCAAAGACCCCTTAGGGAAAGATATTACTTGGCTCTCTTGAGATTTATGTTTTCGGAAGCAATCTTTGACTAGTCAGTGGGTTGTCATAAATTTGTCCTTATAATATTGTGTATGCATATACACACTCACTGATGTAAGCCACATTTCATCCAAATAGTTCAGGGACCCTTATAACTATTCATTTATTACTTATCAGAACATATCTAAGAGTTTAATGTGTCAAATACACTATTTCAAATTTTATAACTTAAAAAAATAAAAACAAAACTGAACAAACAAAACCTTCCAGAGAGATTTGACTACAGCTTAGCAATGTTTGCACACTGTGACTGACTTTTTGGGGTTGGAAAATTGTAGGCTACACTATTTGAAATCCCTTTGAGAATCTGAAGCAATAGAAAGATTTGAGCTGTACCAAGGCTTTATCCAAAAATCCCACATTTCTCAACTATGTAAACAATTCATGTCCTTTTCGTACATATAAAAACCTCCCATCTCCAGAAGATGCCAGTGGTTCCACTTCCCATTCCATCCTGACAGAGAGAAGCAATGAATCGTCAGTGCCTCACCAACAGCCAGTTTTGTTATGCGTCTTCTTTGTAATTCCTGTAATATTAAAGTGTTAATTTTTTAAATGCTCCAAGTATAGGGAACCTATGGTCAAGATGGATACATAGGTAGATATGCTTTGCTTCCTTGCATAACCACAAGAAGGATCACAACTAACTTCAAAACAAAAAAACACCCAAAACTGCCAGAAAATCAAACTGTATAGAAGTCCAACAGCCAAGGGTTTAAAGAAGCTGTATTCATCCAGACAGGTAGGAGGGGTGGAGACAGGGAGCTGAGGCAGAGAGGATACGATGTGGCCTCAGCAAGTTAGCAGCAGCAAGACAGTGGCAATATGTGGCCAGTGGACCGGGCAGTCCCACATTCGACTGTGCTGGATCAAAACCAGGAGGGATATCTTGGGAGCAAGTAATCCCAGCCCCAGACCAGACCACACAGCCCAGGATTCCAGCTCTGGGAAAATAAAGCATCGTGACTTCCAGCCGTAAACACCAATGGGAATTGGGGTGGTGGAAGAAACTGCCCATCTCTCAGTAGAGTCCATTTAAAGAGCCCCAGTGGTCCTAGAATGTAGGCAAACCCACACCCTCTAGGAACCACCACCAGGGCATCAGCTAGAAGGGTGCAGATGCATGTGGGAAGTGGGGGAAATTACCGGAAATGGGCAAGTGCCAAGCAAGCCTCCAGCAGCCAGTCAGCAGCATTGTAGACTGTCCGACCCCTCCCCCACATACAGAGCCACAAAGTGGTGAAGTGGGTTGCCCTGCCCTTGCAAATACCTAAGGATTCACCCCATACAACTTAACATGTGTGCTAAGACAGAGAACCAAAGTAGCTCTACCTAATACACAGAAACAAACACAGGTAGGCTGCCAAATTGAGGAGAAAAAGATATACAGCCCAAATGAAAGAACAGAACAAAACCCCAGAAAGAGAACTAAATGAAACAAAAATATTAGGTGCTGAGGTCAAAACACTAGTGATAAGGATGCTCAGAGAACTTACTGAGTATGGCAAAAGCACGAGGGAAGAAACGAAGGCTACACTAAGTGAATAAAGCAAAATTGACAGGGAACCAACAATGAAAGGAAGGAAGCCAGGGTTCAAATCAACAATTTGGAACATAAAGAAGAAATAATCCTTCAACCAGAACAGAATGAAGGAACAAGAATACAAAAAAAAAAAAAAAAAAAGGAGACTATAAA